TTTAAAAATAACTAAGAACAGCTACCTGACTCAGCGTTGAAGCTGCAACGGTACAATTGAATTTTGAACCATGATCCACAATTCTATCAACACATGCTACGTATGTATGTATGCGAATCAAACGACAGCTCGACTTTTAAAATGTGTGCCTTTAGGCTTGCGATCCTTGCGGAAGTAACGCCAGCAGACAGTCACGCCTTTTAAATGTCCAACTAGCGTCTGTAGTAAGAATATACATATATAAGTATGTGCGAGTTCCATGTGTTCGGTAGAAATTCGAAAGTGTATCGGCGTATAAATCGACCAAATTGTGATACAAGTTATGAACTGGAAAAAAAAAAAGTTTCTGCTTAATTAAAATTTAAAAAGTTACAAAAAATTCCAAATAGCATCGAAATTCAAACGTTGTAAGCCCCTACAAATTGTACATAAAAAATTTGCGTTCAAAAACCGTTACCTCCATAGTTTTAATAGCCTCGGAAAACACTGTAAACGAATTTAAAAGTATGTATATAATGCAAGAAGATTATATTTTTTATATTTCCTTTATAATTACGTATTTTAAAGTTAAGCAGACTATATGATTTACTGGCTTTGGGCTAATCACCATTCTTACTGTCAATAAAACTAAATTTCTAGATAGTAGATTAAAAAAAAAAACTGCGATTTTTATGCTGAGTTTTTGATTTTAATTGCAAATGCGGAAATAAACTTTTTCGAAACCTATAGCGTTGCCTTAAGTGACATCGTTGGATTTTTTCGCCTACAAACGTGTAGTAACTTCTCTAAGACCTCTCCTTCATGAAGCTCATCATTAAACCAAATCAATTCGCGCGAATATATCGCTAGGCACACCTTCTTTGCTGGGAGTAAGTAATAGTATTTTTCAGCTCGACAGCTAATAAATTTTAAAATTTTTTTTGTATGTCGTTTGAAATTAAAAGAAAAATTATCATTTTATACTAAGATAAAAATAAATTATTAGAATGTGTAACAAGACGAAAAAGCGTAATTAATGGCCGTTTTCTGAAGTAGCTTTTAAAACTTATCTGCTCTTCAAACGCATTTTTTAGAACGCTACTTGAGAATACGGCCCTAAAATCATCAATTCAAAACAAAAACCCTTTTTTTCTCACTACAAATTAAACAGTTTGAGCAATCCTGAACATTCGATGACACATTTAAAACCAGGGTTCTTTTGGGAAAGAACAAAGAAAATACCTACAAACTCAAGGCAGCCTGCAGAGCGCAGTGGCGCCTAATCGAAATTTAGTGGCCAAAATAATACAGAGCCTTCGTTCTTCAGCTGATTTGATTATTATTTTTTTTTAAAGCTGATGAGTTTTAAAAGAGATATATATGTATTTTTAGTGCAATTATGAGGTTTCCAAAAACGAAAAAATAGAAATGTTATAAAAAATTTCCACCAATTTCTTTTTTTTTTAATTTAGGAAACATTTTGATATGCAGTTTTATAGACCATTAAATTTTAGTTCAAGTTTCAAGTGGCTATGAATTCACGTTGATTTTAAATATATATATTTTTTTGCTTTCGATGCTAGGCATTTTCGTCCCCCATACATATAAAAATAAAAATCAATGTGAACTATACTTAAATTTAATGAGCTATAAAACTGCATAACAAACCTTTTTCTAAAAATCCAAAAAATTTTTTTTTTAAGTTTTGACGAAATTTTTTTATAACATTTTTAATCTTTTTTTGTTTTTCGACAGTATCGAAAATCGATTACAATCAACGTGAGTGAGAGCATGTTTACACACTTCTGAAATTAAAGAAAAAATGCAAAGTTGAATTGTAGGGTAATCGAGCTCCTTAGAGTGATAATTTAACTACTTTCCCCCGGGCCCGGAGTTATCAGGGGCCCAGATTTTTGCGAAAATTAAGTTCGAAAATAAAAATACATATTTTGCTAAGTTGATAAATTTGGTTAAAAAATATTTGTGGGAAGCAGGGCCCGCATATATTTTGTACCGGACCTGGATTTCCTCTAGGCGGCGCTTACTCAGGGATGCTCAGTTGCCGTTTTTCAAATTAAATGAAATTATCTCATTTTGTGAGAACAATTTTTTTAGTTATGAATCAGAACAAAAATATGTAAGTTTTACTAAGATAATATTTTTTTTATTTTAGAAAGTTAACACTAATGCTAAAAATATATTTTAAAAAATTTATAAATATAAAATTTGAGACCTTTTACTTACCCGATTTATTCAAATAAATTTAAGTAAAAGGTCTGAAATTTTTATTTGAAATAAAATGTTAATTTTTTTTTATTAAATTAATATATAGTATGTATATAAAAAAGAAGAATATGTATATATTTTAAAAGGAAACTAAAGTGAATTTGAAAAAAGATATTTTTATCTTAATTTAACAAAAATAATCGAATCTTCAAAATAGGTCTAAATTACATTGGCGAAGCAACAAACAGTTTCTATACATTTGCATTTAACATTTTATAAAGCCATGTAAAGGCATTATCTTATACATTTTTTTTTTAAATATAACCTCAATTTTTTTTGGTTAGTTTTGTGGTGCATTGTCAACCAGTTGCTTTGCAAATGTAAACGATGTATTTTTTCTTACAATAAACGTGAGATTTATATTTTTTTTTACTAAAAAAAATTATTTTATATACCCATTTTTTATTTGTAAGGAAACAAAAATGCTTCGAAAATTTTTTAAATCTAAATTTTTTATCAAAGTAAATTTTTTTATAGTTCATAAATATTTAGGTATTGAATAAAAAAATTTGTTTGAAATTATTGCTTCCAAGTTGGATAACTGCTAGGAAATTTTGGTAGATAAATATTTGTTTACACACATAGTTTGAATGTTTGTGCTTATTTAGTATTAATATTATGTGCATGTACATATGTATCTGTATGTAGGTGGGTGCGATCCTTTTACCACTGCCAAATGGTGTCGGAATATTTTTTTTTTTGTTTTTGGATGCATATATGTACATAACTACGTATATTGCTATAACTTTAGTAGTTAAATTAATATATATGTCTAGAATTTGTTTGTATGTAAGCTTTGTATTTTCACACTAACTAGATAATAGTTTTGTTTTGGTAATTTTTTCTGGAAAGCAATAATTTTTCATATGATATTTCTGATATTATTGGTTGTTCGAAAATTGTCGCCGTATAATTATTCATTTATCGTATTCCTTTTCATTTTCCGGATCCTTTTCAGTCGTCGCGCGAATATGCCTTTTCGAGATACTTACTCTTCGTCATCGTAATTTTGATAAGTGACATAACGCACAGCCGAACCTTCGCCAATGATCAAAGACTGTGGTGGATTACAAAGAGATAAAGTAAAAAAAAAATGGAGAAAAAGTGATTTAGTGAGTTAATATTAAAAGTGCTTTAAGTGCATAATATTTAAATTACAATTTTGTCAAAAGCGAGTAAAGAGCAGTGAATGGGCATGAAAAAGTGACACTGAAAAGGAAAAAAAATTATTAGTACGGAAAATTTATTGAAAAAAAATAAATAAAAAAAAATTCACAATAATTTTTTTTTTGTATTTAAATGAAAACTATTACTTAATTAAAATGATAAATAAAAGTAGATAAGTTTAGGTCAGGCGCCAGTCCCTTGTGGCGCATAAGGTTCTAATCTCAATTGCTTTGAGGCTAGGTCCAGATGATTAAAGAAAACAACTGGCAAGAACTTTTGACCCCATTTCGCTAGTGCTGAGCAATAGTAGAGCAGGTCTTCGATGGTTCCTTACTTATCCTCGTCCGTACAACTCCTGCAGTAGTCATCCCAGGCCGCGCCCAGTGGCTATATGTAATCTAAACAGACAATTTCTGTTAAGAACTCCAGTCACTATGCGAACATCTTGCCTCCTTAGGTTAAAATAGAAACTTTGTGCTTTGGGCAATAAAATAAACAAATTTATATGTAAACAAATTATAAAATAAAAGTATAAAAAATAAACAATGAAAATATAAATATACACATACATATATTAGGGTGGTCCTTAAAAATATAAACATCTAAATTTTTTATACCGCATCCCTTTATTTTGTTCGACTCACAAAATAAAAACATATACGAAAATTTCAAAATTTTAAACCAATTTATAGATGTCACTTGAGGGTTTGAGAAAAAATTATTTTTGTTTTTAAAAATCGCAAAAATTTTTACTTCAAATTTGATATTATTGGAACTTATTGGCATATATACAGCCGGTCAATGTTAAAAATTTGGCGAATTTTCGCGATTTGAAAATAGATTAAAATTTTTCAAACTCTGTTAGCGACTCCTTTTTTAATTTTGAAATTTTCGTCGTTGTCTATTTTATACGTATGTAGAACGAAATAAAATATTTTAATGACCACCGTAACATACATACATATCTGTGTTCGTATGGAAAAGTAGCTTATGTCGAAAGGCTGGCTTTAGTATAATGCGGCAATCCCTTTATTTTTTAAACGGCAAGGAATTTTATGATGAGACTTAATAAGAATATTGACTTGCTAGTATCGGAACTATTTCTGTCACGTTTATTTGCCAAAAGTTGTTCAACGGCTTAGCGCCAGTGAGTCATTCGCATTCGTATGCTGTGAATGCCGATTTATACTAAAGCCAGCCTTTCGACATAAGCTACTTTTCCATATGAACACAGATATATCAAATATAAAAATATAAAAAAATATAAAAACATAAATAAAATGTAATGGCATATGATACATATATAAAAAAACTTAAAAAAATACATACATACATGTACTTAGAAAAATTAAAACGAAAAATATAATACGCAAAAAAATTTACACGAAAGAAAAATCAATAATTTTATTTAAAAAAATTAAACATTTATTTCATTTAATAGGAAAATACATACCAATCGATTATCATTAGAAGCTTAAAAACTAACAAATTTAAAACTGACTTCTTTCAGTATTCATATGAATACGTAAATATTTACAAAATCACACTTTTGTTGCGCGACTGTATTAGATTTAAAGCGCTTAGTCAGGACAGAAACAAAATTATATTTTTAAAATAAAAATAATGAAATGCTTAGTAAATGCGAAGAGCACACGTATAAACCGGAAAAAATCTGTACAACGAAATTTAAATTTTAAACTTAAACCAGGTTTAAAAAATTCATGCTAAAAAGAACTCAAAGCAATCAGCAATTCTAACAGAATTGAATTGAATGAAATGATTTAAGCAGCAATCAATAACTCAGTTAAAGCCGATCACTTTCAAAAGCCTCATTCGTCATGCCTTCATGCATAATGGCCGGGCTGTGAGCCGTGGCCACCACCAGCACATTGTTGCCCGTATTCACATTGCCATTCACATTGGTAGGCAGCGGCGCAGATGTAGCCGTCGAGGCCGACACATCAGCTTCAGCGTCAGCACCTTCATTTGCAGTGGTACCAACCTTTTTCTCCTCCTTCGTTGGAGGATTCTTGAGCAACGTCAACAGTGGAGCATAGAGGAAGCATAAAATCGCAATGCCAACCAACATCCATTCGAAGCCGATCGATTTCACGAGTGTACCACTTAGAGCTGGACCCACAGCGAAACCCACACAAAAGGCAACATCACCCAGCGCGTAAACGCTGCCATAAACCGCAGAATGGCGTATGTCCACTAGAAAGCCTAGTTCGGGCATCATTGATGAGTCCACCATGCCAATGGCGAAACCCAAGCCGGCATTGGGTATAATGAGATGTGTAATCGAGGTGGCCATGGGAATCTGTGTGGAGGTGAAGGAAAAATGTTAAAATAGTTTGGAAAGGTACAGGTCGCTACCTGGAAACTCGCTTACCATAATCAAACAACAGCCAATAATAATCAAGCCCAGACAGGCGGCAAACCAACGTCCGATTTTATGTCCCAATGGTCCGAAGAGATTAGTGCCAATAAGATAGCTGATTGAGGCCGGCAGAAAGGCAACACCTTGTTCCCAACGCGTAGCGCCCATATTGTCTACCATCCAGAGTGGCAGCGATGGCTCCAACATCGCAATGCCCATATTCGCAAATGTTATTGAGCCTGTAAAGGTGAAGAAAGCGTGCAATTAGTAACAACATATGCATGTACCTATAAGATATATTTTTTTGTATGCGGTAGTCAGTTCCTACCCGCAGCAATTAGTATGTATGGATCACTGATCAGCGCCTTCAGTGAGGGTGGCTCTGTTTCTGCACGCTGTATAGAGGGTTGCAACATGAACAATTGTAGTAAACCATCGCCTAAAGCCAGCGCTGATAGTATTAGAAATGGTGCTGATTTGCCAACGAATTCATACATGACACCACCAAATGGCGGACCGATGAGCACACCCAATGCCAAGCCGCCCAATGCTACGCCCATTGCATTGCCACGTTCCTTATCGTCCGTATAACGATCGGCCAACATACCCATACCCGAGACAGAGGAGCATGATGAGCCGATACCTTGTAAAGCACGCGCAATAAACAGAATCAAATATGAACGGCCAAAGGCGAAGACTAAGTTGAAGAAATATGAGGATCAGAAATTATTCGCCGACAAAGTAGACCAAGTACTAAATGATAGCTTATACTTACTTATCGTAGATATAAACATGATAACGAAGCCGGCAAACATCGGGATGCTGTAGCCGATCCTAGGGAAAGAATTGATGGAAGAAGCACAATAAACAATTCAGCTGTAAACATTAAGGATAAGCAGTAAACATTAAGGATTTTGCATCGAAGATTGCAGAGGGTCTCTAAAGCCTTAACTGCGCGTTCCATCAACATATATGCTTGTAATCTATCTGAACGTTTAAACTTACTTATGTGTCAGTGGTCCAACGATTGGATTGACTAATAACTGCACGAACGCTTTCGATGCGAATAAGATGCCCACTTCCACGGTCTCACCCACCAGCTCTTGATGTCGCTCTTCCAATTCGCGATAAAAGGTGATGTTATCTGCAAAAGTGAATAAATATCAGTTAGTTAGAAGTAAGGATTAAAGAAGTTGATTTTAGCTTGATATGAATGGGCACACATCGGATGCCACGATAAACCTTGGACATAAACGATTTGAATGTATCGTTATCTCTCCAGAGGTGACGTGAATAGGCCTCCAAAATCATGCGACTTCACCCCGATAGACTTTTTCATGTGGGATTTTCTGAACTCGCGGGTCTATGCTAATGATTCGACTGGTGTCATTAAATATAATAGGATGTATGTAACCCAGGCCGTCGCTCAAGCTCAGTGGTTGACATTTTTAGCGATTTTATAGTTCATATTTTATGGCATAAGGATGGCCTCTAAAATAAAATGGAACTCCCTTCATACCTCACACATAGCTTGTTTTATTTCACTTTCGCGGGTCGACCAGAGCTTCCGCTTGAGTAGAGGTCGTGTAATTTTCTGGGTTCGGTAATCTATGTAGTTCGAAAGACTACCCAGCGCTTTCGCTTTGGTTACATGTGTCTGTACTCTGGGACTATGTTAAATATTATTCTAAGCTGAGAACTCGAATTTAGTCGGTTGCTTTCTCAGAAGTTGCTCCTTCGGGTTCGATAGACAACCCAAAACTTCTCATATGGATTTATTAGCTTACATTCTTAGCCGAGTTTAAGTATCTTTGTAGTACCCTAATTCGTTCGACAGTCTAGAGCTTCACTTCCTTTAATTTATTATTCGTTTTTCGGCTAAAGGCGGCCCTCCATAGCATGTACGTATGTGTGCGTTTGAAAGAAAAATTGAATATATAAATTTTCACGCCAGCACCTACATAGCAACGCATGAAAACGTAAGAAAGTTGTATGCATTTTCACTTCTAAGCATAAATGTCGAACGCGCGCTCACGGATACGCATGCTATGGAGGTCCGCCTTAAGGGCATCTGTTATTCTATGTCCAGTAAACTGGAAAGCCTGCATGGTTACATTGTTGTCTTAATGGGCGGAGGAACACATTGTAGATCGAGGTCTCTGAAATTCAGGGAACCCATACACTGAACCCAATGGGGAGGGTTCGAAATATATTTGCGTTTTGTCGGACAGTCAGGCAACCCTGCGGGCACTAAAGTTCCACAAAATAAATTCCCATCTAGTACAAGACCGCGTCAATGTCATAAAAGCTCTTGGAGCCACGAATGAAGTTCTATTAGGAAGGGGACCGGGACATCAGAGACATGATGGCAACGAGAAGACCCTCTGCCTGGCGAAACTAGGAGTATTTCGTGGTTCGGAGGCCTTTTGGGAGCCCAACAAAGCACACATTAAGGAAATCATAAATAAGTGGGTGGAAAAATGTTCACCAGGCACTGGAGGAAATGTCCAGGGCAGACACAGGCCAAAAGATTTATCTGTCCTTTAAAAGAAGCTTTAATGAAACTACTTAATTTTTCCAGAGAGGACCTTAAAACTCTCACTGGGTACTACACTGAACACAGTTTCCTTCGTTACCACCTCAGCAAAAAGGAATCTTTCTGAAATAAATATTTGTAGCTGTTGTGAGTTGGACGTGGAAACGTCAAACCACATTCTTTGTGAATGTGCTGTTCTTGCTAGGCGCAGACTATCTCATTTGGGTGGTGATACACTTAAACCGTTTGAAATATGGAAGAAACCGCGTTTGGAAGGGCTGGGATAGATAAAAATCCTTCCTATATAGGGCGGAGGGTCAAACTCTTCTTTAATAGTATCGGTGCATACACAGATAAATGGCTCATGATAATGATTATTTGATTTCATATGATAAGAGAGCCTTAAGCGACGCCAGATTATCCTATTAAAATTTGGATCCGCATAGGAAAAGTCATTTGGGTTCTGAGTCTGAGTATCCCTGCTCCTTCTAGGTTTAAAGGGCATCCTGGATATATTTGTCCAACATCTTAGTCGAGCTAATATATTTTCTGAGTTTTGTACTTAGTTTAGTACGACGCGTAACCCAGACCATTCGCCTCAGTTTTATTGGACCCTATGCTCAGTACGGGTTGGGTGTTTTCCAAAGCCTGATAATATGGATAGATCGTTAGTCAACCAAAATGTTTGCTTTCGAATGGCGAGCAGTTACCGTCGAGAGAACGTATTTTTCTAAGCTCAATAACTTATTTCTGAGTACACTGCACCGTTTACGCTCTAGATTGATCTAGATTAATTAATTATCTAGTTTAGTAACACAGTTCGGATTGAGATTTTGTAGTCCTTACTCTCAGACAAAGATATTTATTTATACCTGGCAAGGTGGAAACCAAACAGAGGTCATCCTTTTGGTTGGAGCTTTCATTCAGAGTTTTGTTAAGTCTTTTTGGGAATTAGATCTTTAACTCCACGATCGACATATCTTCCTGCCAAACTAAATGTACTCCTATCCCGGTTTTTTGCTAAAAATTACGTCAATCGCACAGCATTTTTAACATATTTACATTTATATACTCGCAACTTAGCAAAAAAAAAAACGATTGCTTACTCTTTTTTATACCCAAGAAATGCTTACCTTCTGGACTCATCGTTACAACCTCCGCTGTTGGCAATGCCTCACCATTCGGGCCGCAGGGTGATTGGGTAGGTGGCGGTGGTGTGTGCGTGGTGAGTGGCGTACGCGGGTAACTATCGAGCGGTGCATCCGGATGGCGTATGTCGTACAGGAACTCAGGTATTATAGGAACTGAAAAAAAGAGGAAGCGCAGAGGTGAGAAAAAGAAGAATGCGAATTAGAAGAGAAAACGTTAAATGTCGCCTTACAGCATGTTGTCAATTAAGTTAGCATTATGTGTGTGTGTGTGTTTTGTTTTTGTTGTTGTTGCTCTGCGCGTGTGCACACTTTTAACAATTTGCAAGCAATTAAGTAAGGCGGCTGAAGTTTAGTCGCTTGGCACGTTGATGGTTTTAATGCGTTTAAAAGCTATTAAGGGCCATTTTAAATTGTATAGACAAGTTGTAAATTAATTGCAGTGTTGCTGCTACCACAGATTTTTTCGCTTGTTTTACTTTTTTTGTTTGTTGTTGGTTGTCGCTCTAGCGGATGACCGTCTAAGCCACAACGTTTGTTGGGTATTGTTCTGCACTGCAATTTGAGTGGCCTTGCGTAGACGAAGGCAATTTCAGTGAAGTCAAATTGAATTAGGCCAAACTCATAGTGATTGAGGTGATGGCGAGCGTATACAAGAGTAGTTAATTACTTTTAGTGGTTTTTCTTGAGTTTCTTTTTTGTAATTTAAAACTTTTGAAAAACATATGCATGTACTCGTATATACCTCTACATAAATTAGCACTTTGAATAACGATATTGGGAATCGAATTATGCAGACATTTTTACCTTATAGTTTCAAGAAAGGATTAATACATCGTGAACTAAGTAATTAGTTAAAAGCTGCTAACTGTAATAGAAATAACATTGTAGGGACGCAAGAATAACAAAAAAAAAATACGAGACACATAAGCTTAACTTTGGGTCCTACATTATGGATCAGTATGCTGTTTTTCTAGATCAGGCAATATTCCCAAAATAATTTCAGTTTGAGTTTGCATTGCGAATGAAAAAAAAAATATCAAACTTTAACATGGAAAATGTTACTCATACGCCATGTGCGAGTATGCACGAGTAGGCTCATGTACGATATGGCGTACTATGAGTAACATTATTTCCTGCTCCTATTTCATATAAAAAATTAGTGCACGTTTTCATTTTACCATTCACAACTTGTTTATTAATCCATCGATTTTCATGATTAGCAGCTTGATTTTTTTTTTGTAAAAGAACAGGCTTTAATACATATAAAAAAATACAAAAGATTTGTTTTTTTCCTTGTTAAAGTTTCAATTTTTTTTTATAAAAATTAAAATTTCTTGGAAAAATTACCTGTTCTGGAAAACCGGTATACGGATCCATAACACCGTGCGGCAGAAAATTTTAGACACAAAAAACTGAATATGTTTGCGAAACTATGGATAAATTATAGTCAAACTGCGTACTTGGTTTTTCTCCCTGACATCAGGATTTCTTTTAAGGACTTGGAGATTTTAAGAAATATGACTAATTCAAAAAATTATTTCAAAAATTCGGTGCAATGTAGAATAACAATAAGGGTATCATATAAAAGAAAAAATTCTGTAGAATCATAACAGAATAAATGCTTTGGTGCATTAGGACGAATGGGTATGGAAAATGTTCTTTACAAATTCTATCCTTAAATATCCTTGAAAATTTGCAATATTTATTTTTGAAAAAAAAAAATATTTTTTGAGGACTAATATACACACGGCCTCATCATCGAATTTTGTCTTGCAAACTTAATTAACTTAAAAAGATAAAATTTATTAAAAGCGCATTTTCAATACCTATTCGTCCTTGTAAACCAAAAAAATTTATTGTTCTAAATTCTACACAATTTCCTGTCTCATTTGGTACCCATATTGTTATTCTACATTGCATTGATCTTTTTTAAATAATTTTTTTAATTAATCATATCCTTATCAAGGTCCTTTGAAAAAAGATCCTGACGTCACAGTGAAAAACTAAAGACGCAATTTTACTATATTTGGCCCATGGACGAAAGTGAAGGAGATTTTGAATAACCTCGCTTTGATGCGTATTGTGGCTACATGATCGTTCACCGGGGTGCGCGACAGTACTCGGCGACGGAGTCTCTCTCCCACCACAAATCCAGCACCGAATTTGCGCCCCTTTACATGACACCTGTAGTAGACGTTTCTTTCCTTGCGTTGGCCAATGCATTTTTTTGATGGCGGTGATGTCAGCATGTGTCCTTACGAGGACATTAAAAAGCTGGGCAGAGGCACCTTTACCATTAAGGGTCCTGAATTTACAGGTGCATGCCTTCATATCATAGTTCTTTAAACGTTTGCCGTGGTCGTCATAAAAATGGGAGGTCCCATCCAAGGCTTTGTTATTTGTCTTTACTGGAAGGGGTTCTTACGTGGCGGGTGCCAAACCCATTGTTGAGAGGGTGGTGGTTTCTTAACCGAATACACGTTTATATAGGGAGCAGCTTGCTCCAAACAAACACCCGCTTGCAGCCGCACCTACTGGTGAACAGACTCTACGGACTTCAGTAAGACCTTAAACCGAATAAGGCGGGGGGTTGCCCCAACGAAGCTCGCTCTCTTTCTGCCGCTACCCAAGGCTCAACATGGATTGGTTACCGCATCTTGCACATGGATTGCTCACGTTGCCCTAAGGGCGCGATCGCGGACTCAAGCGTCGGCATTGAGTATAGCCGTGCAACTGTAACTGCATACCGGGACCAACGAGTGCAATGGGTATATACTTCTATGTACGGGTAACTGAACATTATTAGACAAGCATGCCTTACTGCGAGTCTGTGGATATATTCTTAACCCCCTATTGCGGATGTCTATTTGCACTCCAAAATTGGTCACGTGTTTGTAAGCAATTAGGTGTTATTTCGCTAAACAGTGCTGATGCAACTTAACACGGCAGCCGGAAAGTACATTCTTATTTATATACATAAATAGGCACATATGTATGTATATGCATATAAAAGCAGTCGTAGGCTCACTTTGAAGCAGCTCGCTTGCATAGTATACATCAACAAATGCATTCATCAAATAAACCACATTTCCGCAACGTGGTCGTTTATTGCAGTTTAGTTCACCAGACAACCATTTATACAAGTTATGAGTAGCTGTCGGCAGCTACAACGCAACCCTTGCTGACGTTTTATGTTGCTTGTGGCGGTAGATGCGATGTTGATGGCCTTGTCGAGGTGCTCTGGCGCCGGAAGTGGGTCGTTGTAAAAACTTTTACGAAATTCAATTTGTTATTTAGTAGCTCACTCACTTTGGCTATGCTTGCGCCCCTATGCCATGGGTTCTCGTGCTTCACAGGGTGCGCTGAAAATTCGTCATAAAATGCAAAATAAATTTCACTGGGTTTGTGTGTAGGAATGTATGTGTTAGAATATGTATGTTAGGGCGGGTCAATTTGTATGTTGGATTTTTTCGACTATAAGCGTATAGCATAGGAGGATTCTACGTGTAATTCTAAGCAAATTTACCAAAGAAACCATGGGTGTAAAATCAATTTAGAGTTTGCCAAATCGCGGAAATATGCTTCTTTTACTTAAAATTTTGCTGTAGTGTCGTAAAGAAGTGCTTAAATGAGTTTTGCACAGATATAAAAACAGTGGGAAAAACTCTTTTCATTGATATCTCATAAGTTTTCAAGTTTTTCTTAAACCAATCTGTGAAAAAAGTTAGAGAACAGCATAAAAATCTCATTATTACGATTCCGTTGATTTTTTTTGATATTTTTATACAAATTTTTTAAGCTTAAACTGTTTTGTTATCTAAGGTGATTTTTTGCAAAAAATACTGTTTTTATTCATACAAAATTCAAATTTTGGAGGTATTTTCAAATCGGTCCAGCTCACGTAAATCGTTATCTTTTTCCGAAATATTTCGATGAAAGTCTTAAAATATAATAGAGATTCCGGTGGAAAAACAGTACCCAGTTTTTTTTTTTGTATGGGGAGTGATGCAGTATATTAGAGTGGTCCAAAAAAATTAAGTTGGAATTTTAATGCCGGCACGCCCTTGGATTGTTCTATATCGAAAAAAATATACCCCTATTTTTTTTATTTTGGAATCAAAAAATATTTAGGGGTGCTCAAAGCACTCAAAGTTTTCCATGTATTTTATATGGAGAAAAAACGATTTTTCGTAGAAATGGTATACAACTCTTAAACATCAATATTTTTCAATCGGAAAACTGTGGTTCTCTTCAGGAGACTTCCAGTATTAATATCCAATTGTTTATTTAACTATTTTTTATGATTAAAGATTTTTCCATTGCATTTTCTAGTGGTTTTGGAGGACCTATAAGATATAGTTACTATGAAAGAAGGGTTAAAGAGACAATTGCGTATTATTACTGGGAATCTCCTGAAGATAAGAAAAGTTTTCCGATCGAAAACTGTTGATTTTAAAGAATTCTACACTATTTCTACGAAAAGTTGTTTTTCCCCCATATAAAATACATGGAAAACTTTGAACACTTTGAGCACTCCCTAAATATTTTTTGATTTCAAAATAAAAAAATAGGGGTATATTTTTTTTCGATATAGAACAATCCAAGGGGGTGCCGGCATTAAAAATCCGACCTTATTTTTTTACATACATTTTTGGACCACTTTAATGTATATGCATGCACTTTGTATTGAATTTTAGTTGTATGAAAAAAATTTTTCAAGGATAAGTAAAATATATGTTTTTTTTTTTTTATTTTAACAAGTAAAAGTACTTTCAAGTTGCTACAAAATAATTACATTTTTTTTCAAATTACAACCAAATTGAGACTCGGAACACAATTTCAGCTGAGATTGTTTTTTTTGACCAAATTTAGAAAGAAATCAGAATTTCAGACTGAAATTGAGGATCGTGCCCAAATTACGAAATTTGAGGGTCGTGGAAACGCTTTTATACAAAATTTAAGCACTTCTTTATGGCAGTACAGAAAAATGCTAACTAAAAGAAACCTATTTTCGCAATTTGCCAAACCCAAATTGATTTTAGATCCATGGTTTCTTCGGCAAATTTGCTTAGAATTACACGCAGAATGTTCCCATGCTATACGCCTATAGTCTAAAAAAATTGAACCGCCCTAATGTAGGTATAAGGAGAACGCACTAGCACGAGTAGGAAGTGTAGACAATTAATGCGCGTGTTGATGTCTTAATGCGCCCAGAATACTTGAGACTCAACACTAGTCAACCGCTAATACTACCCTCTTGTAGTTTGTTGGTTCGCGGCAATATTATTGGATTTACTGAATTTACGTAGATATAATTTGCCTCAAACACATCCTGACTCATGCATATTTGTTGTGCTAACTAATAGATTGAAATCATTACAAGTCAAGTTGTTACCTAGATTCTGAAGTGCCAATTGCGACAAATGCAATTAAATGCAGGGCGAATGTAGTTAATGCATGTGAAATATTTTGCAGGTTATTTTAAGTGTTACAGCTAATAAGTATGTGTTACCTATGTACATACAGTTGTTAGGGTGCTTCTCTATCCCCTTTGATAAACAAAATCTTATCCAAGACGGCAGCAAAGGCTGCCAGATTAACTCTATGAGTGAAATATGAAAAACCCGAAAGGGCACTGAAAGATATTTACAACTGGATGAGAAAAGTGTGACTCAAAATGAATTCTATGGATACGGACTTGTTACTTTTTAAAAGGAAGTACATGTGTATAAGATTCCAGCCCGATCTTCACCCAAATATTAAGGAAATAGACTCCTAAAATATTTTTTAAATATCTAGGACTTGTTATGGACAATTAATTGGCGCTCAGTGGAGCCAAACTGGAATATACTGTTCAAATTAACCCAGCAGTGAGATTAATGAAATCGCCACGCTAAATTTCTATCGCTAAAAATCTCCAAATGAATAATGCCTGTACCTAGAAATATACAACGCCTCCGGTGAAACAAAAATAACATATCCATATTGCGTACGATTTTATATTGAACCCCTTCCGCTTTCGCGTTTTATATATTTAGGCCCATAAGTTATCCATTAAGATATTTTTAGTCAAGACTACAGAGCCTTCATTTTGCAGTCGATTTGATTAAAAAAAATTTGACAAAAATTTATATCTATGTATATATATATATTTTAAAATTTTTACAAAAATTTTAGGTATGTAGTTTAGCCCATTAAATTTTAGTGTAATAGAGTGCTGAGAATGTACGTCGATTTTTAATATTTTTCTGCTGACAGTGCAAGGTTTTTTCTTCCACATTCGTGGAGTGCGGTCGAAATATTAGCAAAAAACAAAAAAAAAAAATCATCTCGATTTCTTAACCGCATGAAACTTGCACATTATTTTAATAAAATTTAATAGGCTATACAAAATGCGTACTTAAAATGTTTGTAAATACAACAATTCAATTTTTTCTTTTACAATTTTGCTACTTTCTCTGCACTTTGTGCGGAAAAATTGTATATACAAATAAGAATTAAAAAAACGGGCTCGACATGTCTCTTCTAAATCTTTAAAATGAAGGCCAAGGACTATTTTGAACAGTAAATTCTAGTTTGGTACAACTGTGGGACCTGGAGGTTGAATGTGGAAGAGAGGGTTAAGATGGCGTTTAAATAAATAAAAAATATTTGGTGTTTACACAATTGTATAAGTATTTGGCCGAGCTTCTCTTCCAATTTTTTGGTGCGTCTTGATGTTTTTTCAAAAATTTTTTTTTGGATCCAACCTTGGTCCTACGAGGTGGTATTACGCACTTCCAGTCACTCGGCTCCAGCCTTACATGCTTCATTGTTTAAACATGTAAGTACAGAATTGGACATGGCAATTAAATCGAAGCAATCTTGCAGTACAGCCAACATCATACTTCTCTATTACAGTGCACTGTGCAGCTTTCGGTAGATCACGACACAGCAGCATTGGCTTCTACTTTCTTCTCCTCACTGAAGGAAATAGCAGACTTAAAGACTAAGTAGTTAGTTAGTTTCTGCTTGGGTATAACAGAACAAGAGACACTGCGACCCGAAAGATCTTTTGTATCTCTTAAAGAGACAGTCCCTAGCCCAGTACGCTTAAGGCTAAAAGACTAGCAAATTGCCATAACTCGCTAAAAAGTGCAGTATTACTAGAGTTTAAGCCCAGGCAACCACTTTCTTGCTAACACAAATAACCAACTAATGGTCTTTCTGATCAACCAAGCTAACCGTGCCAGTTTTTCTTTCACCTGCTTTCAATTTTACATTTAAAAAACTTCCAAAAATTTGACTTTTGTTAGGCGCACATTTTATTGAACATAGCCTTCACACATCTCTTTGGTATTCACTACTACTTATGCCTTAAATTTTACAAAGTTCACTGAACGTATTGCTCAGCCCACTTAGTGTATCGTCCACACTACCGCAACCACTGACATTCGGGCCTACAGCCGTTAACAGACCCTTCTTCGGCAGGCTCGGCATAAATATGTGCAGCTGTTTTTTGGCATCGAAGACTCCCGTATCGTGTGGTCGCTTGTGTGACGCTTTCGTACCAAATGTGCCATATTCCATATCGGATGTTCGCGGTTTCGGAGGCTTAGCTTTTGTTGTTGTTGGTGGTGCTTGATTGGCTACACACTTTTCCGCCTCAGAGTATAGGCGAGCAGATGCTAACGGTCCCGCTAGCCGACGTACAGTCGCCGGACTGGTGCTGAGCGTACATAAATCAATATTGCGCACAGGGCGATTGAAACGCACGGGCACGCCTTCACGATCGAATATGATTGTGATGTGCTTAACGGGGTCTGAGGGTCGCGAGTGAGCAGCCGGTTGGTTGGCGGTGGCGGTAACGCAAGGACTTTGTTCCGCACGTATTCCACTCGTAGCGTTGCGCATATTTTTACGGGAACGTGATGGGACAGCAGGTGGCGGCGGTGCAGACGCTTGCGTTTGTGTGTTGGCAATGCGCATCCCCTTTTTGCTAATTTCATTAGGCCCCGGTGGCGCTTGCGATGGCATCAGCTTTACGTACGACTTTTTTGGGCGCTTCACCATATCAATGGTGTCTATGGGTTGAGCTTGTTGTGTATCGACACGCTTGCCAGCCAAATCCAACCAATTGAGCACACGCTCCGCCAAACGCTCATCCGCGTGCGAATTCGCTTGCGAAAGTGTCGATTGTAGATCTTGGAGTGAACTGTGACGGGAATACAGCTCGTAAAGTTCGTGAAGTGGTCCACGACGTACCGCGTGGTTGCTAAAGAAGAGCGTTGCACGCTTTTGATGGGTCCTAGAAGAGGCAGTCAATGATTTTGCTGTGAATTTCTGCTGCGTTTGTTGCGCTGAAATTGTCAACGCTGTGGTGGCCGGTGATGGTTCGACTTTAGCTGGCACTATTAGCAGCAAATCTGTGGTAGAGTCTTCTGAAAAACCGCACTGTCTATGATTTTGCCAATCGCTTGCGAAGTCGTATGAATACGAATGTTGTAGAGTGGCTGTGAATAAGTTGGAAATGTAAATGATATTTGTAAATAGTAGCTCGTCTCGTTTTTTGCATGAATCCTTACCATGCGCCTTATTTCTGCTACCGCTCACAGCCGATTTTGAGTACACACGACGCTGGTTCGGCTCGTAGTCCAATATGAAGTGACGTTGCGGACCCGCGCGACCTGTTTTCGGCGCCTCCAACCAAGTGGAACGCACGAAAAGCGGACGACTGGCAGATTCCCAAATCGTGGGTGCTTTCAGCATTTCCATGTTGAAACTTTTAATTTATACAATGATTATAATGATTATTCATGTGCCCATTAACTTGCTAAGTAGTTTTGTCAAATATGTAAGGAAAAAACAACTAAAAAAAAAACTTTTGCACGCGTTGTCTTGTGAGCTAACAGAGTTCGTAAGCGTTTTCTCTTCAAAGAGTTCGACTCAAATTGACTTCCGTGCAACGACTAAAACATTTAACAATATTCCGGCGGTCTCACTGTCACCATTCCTTTGACATTGTTCATGCGCCAAATAAAATTCCAAGACAAAATTTTCGTCCTGCAGGCATTCGAACAAGCGGCAACCAGCCTGTCAACCCTGCACATCAAACAAACTGCCTCACTGCGTCGCAACGTCAACATGAAAAAGTGTGACACATCAAATGCTGCTCGTCTTCAACTGCTTCGTCATTTCCTTCTTCTTTTGAATCCAATGCCAGGCCGCACTTCGCCTGCTTGAACCGCTACCAAGCAGAACAGCCAGCTAAACATATCTGCTTATGTTGCCGGCGTGATTCCTGTCTGGTTGCGCTTATGTTTACCACTACACTTCCCTTCTCTCCTATGCTCCAGCGAACTCACTACTCCTTAGCGACCAACAGACCAGTTCTATTGTTAGCGTTTGTTATTTTTTGTGGTAAAAGTGTCTCAGACACGCAAAGCATAGCGACTACTCAACTCAACGTCGATACTGGCTATAGACTTTTCCCATTAGGCGAAAAATTGTTAAAACCCACGTGGGCATAATAAGCGCACGTGGATTTCGAAGAAAATTGATAGGATCTTGCATCCGGTTGATAGTTTTACCTAACCGATTTATAGGAGTATATAACTTGACTCAGTGACACGTCCAGATTCCGCTTTCTGAGATTACCTTAACTAGATGCCCACGACCTTCATAAATACATAGAATAGTTTCGGTGGCTTTGTAGCGCTCTCTGTACTCTAAAACTAGTCTGAACTTAGCAATATGGGATTTGCAACCCCCATAACCCTCTTTTCCTACGCACATTTTTAAATTTTTTCATTAATTCCTGTAAGTTAAGTTGTAAGTGGCAAAAGTTCGTTTCGTATGTAAATTTCACTTACAAGTTATGGAGTTAACTCACGAAAACGTTTGTATTTAGCATGAGAAATTTATTCCAATGAATGTTCGTATCAGCGCAATTTAGTTAGCATAACAGCGAACACTCTTGCATGGCTAACTATCTTGGAATTTCCCCTCCGAAAAGGCTTAGCAGAAATTTCGTTCTAGATAGGACATTTTGCAAAGCCACTCGGAAGTGAGACCTGATCTCAAAATTTTATTAGAGTGGCTGATTTTGGCTTATACCTCCTTTGTTTGATGCCCAAAAAGATTGCAAAGACATCCATATCAGGATTTAAAAAAGCTTCGAAGTTTGGCTTTGCTGTCGGTCACAAGGCTAACTAGAACTTATTAAACCGCCGCTCTGGAGTCGCTTCTATGATGCATTCTTCTCTTAAGATTTTATGCCCAAAGCTTATAAAGTAGTGTTTTGATATGTTTTAATAAATTGGCAGCGCTGGATTACAGGCCAAACCGGTATCATTATGGATCTTTTTTTGTTTGCTTTGAGCGATAGCTACTTACAACTTAGACACGCAAGGCTCTTTGGTTGCAGAGGCTGCCTAAATGAAAGGTCACATTTGAGAAAGACGATTGAGGGAAGCTTATAGAGTCTGTGGCCTTCGGATTAGCGACTCATCGGCAGCATACAAGAGATATTTTTTAGATGGCTTTTAAGTATTACATTTTATTCAATTAAAATAAATTACAATTCATAGTCTTAAATATAGGTTTCAAAGTTTGTCTGAAATTTAAAAAATTTTGGCAAATTTTCAGCAAAATTTCAAACTTTTTAGTCAAAATGAAAAAAAAAAAAATCAATTTTAGTACAATAATGTGCTCTTTGCGTTACATCGCCAGCAAAAAAAAAAATAAAAAGCAACTTCAAGCCCGAATGGGCCTTAAAACTGCATAAAAGGTTGAAATTTTGTTGAAAATTGGTAAAATTTTCTAAATTTTAGATAAATTTTAAAACTTATGTAAAGTATATTTAACATTTTATATTAAAAAAACAAACTATATTTTTATAAAAAATTAACGATTTTTTTTATTAAAATATAAACATCTATTGTAAAAAAATTGTCTGTACACAAACTTTTATCAGAGGGTGTATATTATGAACCATATAAAAAAATTCGTATATGAGCCATTCTTTTTCATATCGGATACCAAATTTTGTGTCACATTTTCGATTCGCTTAAAATTTATGGGTTCTATACAAGCTAACACGTATTCGAGGAAATTTTTTAATTTTTTTCTTCGGAGATATGATCTGTCAAAGTTTGGATATTTTCGTGATTTTTCTGATTAATCATGTACTTCTTCAAATCGTTATATCTCGGGTTCTGCTCATCGTAGAGACTTCATCTTAACGCCGTTTTAACTGGCTTAACATTTCTACATATAAGATGGCCATGATTGTCCTAATTCTATCCAGAAATAATATAAGACTCAGGGGAGTACGGCGAACTATTTTTGGTTTGCTTATAAGGTGGTATGGTCTAATGTATTTAATAAAGAGTAATGAGGATTGTATCGGGGCGGAAAATGTCGGATGTATCCTGCTGACTTCCATATTCACTTGAAGAATCTAGCATAATGGCGATATCG